TTGGTGCCAGCAAGTAAAGGGTTTCTGAAAATCAGCTGAACCTCCACAAATATTAAAATCCCCCAGTTCTTCAAAAACGCATAGTATCTTTTAAAATAACTGAATGGCAATGTAGAGATTTTCTCTAGGTTGCATTTTTGAAAGGGTTATATTTGAGGGAAACATTATCATTTCTGTCCCAAATCCAACCATGAGGTAATAAAGACGCGAAGCAGCTCTCGGTGCTACACCCTGTGCCGGGCCGGGAGCCAAGGGCCGCCGGTTTCTGGTCCAGCGCAGCTCTCCTTGCCGGCCTCGCGCGCGTGCGAGCGCCTGGAGCTGCCCAAGGGACCTGGTGCTTTTTGTACTGCTGTTTCTTGCATGTTCCCTTTGCCGCCCAAGGAAAGGGCAGGGATGATGGCTGGGGATGTGCAGAGCAGCACCCAACAATTGCCCACGGCACCAAGTTCAAAATGCTGCTAGGGAAGGCGAGCAATGGTCTGATCAGAATGTCTAAGTTGGCACCAAATACAAGTAGTTTTAGCCTGTTTCTTTTTGTTACTTATTGCTGTGCTAAGTTTTGGGTTTTTTTTTTTTAATATTTTCTTGACATTTAAGACACACTCACCTTTGGCTTTGTGAGATATTGGGACAGTTCTGAGAGCTGTTGAGTCAAAAGGGGCTGTGCGTTGCAGCCGCGTGCACGGACCGTAACGTGTCGCGGTTCGGGGCGATGCTCCCGGCGGGCACGGGGTGATGCAGGACGGATGTCCTGGCCGGGTTCCGCTCCCGGCTCCTTCCCGCCGCCTTCGCCCTCTGCCCCCCTGGCAGCCCCACACCCACATCCTGCCCCGGGGCTGCAGAGCAGGAGAAGAAAGAGGATGAGAAGGAGGAGGAGGAGGTGGAGGAAGAAGGGGAGGGCAGGGTCTTTATCGGCCCTTTCCAGAGGGAAGGAGCCTCCGCCCCGTCTGAACAGCTGTGAGGCCAGAACGATGGAACAGGGACTCGGAGCAATGTGGCCCTGCCCCGTCTCGCAGCTCCCCTGGCTGAGGGGACCGTCATCAGCACCAGGCTCTGCTGTGGGTTGAGCTGGGGACACAGGCGAGGGGCAGAAACCCCCTACAGATCATGTATATCTTAAGAAACTTGTATGTCAGAGCATTTACTTTCTAAAAGCCACCTAAAATAGCTCCCGTAATGCAGCCAGGATGAGCAGCCGTGTGTGCTGTCCCACGCGGTCGCTCCTGCGTGTGCCCCTGCTGCCGGGGCGAACACAGGACTTGGCTTAAACCCCTCAGCCTTCAATACTAATAAATTGTTGAGGTTCACCAGAGCCAGGAGGGATGTGAAGTGCAATAAACACCACCCTCCCCTGAAGCCCCCACGGGGCCCAAGGCTGCAGTGAGCTGCAGGTGGAGCCAGCGCGGGGGAAACTCGCTGCACGTCGCACCCAGGTGCTGGGGGTGATTAAACCCCCCTGTTGTTTCTGCAAACACCTGGGCCAGCTCAAAGGCGGCCGCGGCGCTGGGGGAGCCGGGGTCAAGGCCCCGCATTGTTCCCGGCGCTTCCGCCCCGTCCCGCGGGCGCGCGAGGGACAAGAGCGATCCCGGAGGGAAGAGCCTTTTCCTTTAGGAAAAGCTGCAACAAAGCCGAAACCCAGACACCTGTGCCTGGCACTCGGCAGCCCTGGGATTGCCCGTGGGGCCCAGCAGAGCCCGCGGCGCTCGGCCTCCCCAGCCCAAACCCAGCTACGGATGTTGAAGATTTTCACTTTTTGTAAAATTTGGGCTTAGCCAGCACAGCGTTAACATCCCCATTTGGAAAATGCCTTTGGGGACAATGCTGGAATGCCCGGCGGGCTGCGGGCGCACGCGCAGCCTCGCTGCTGCCCCGACGCCGGGGTGATGGGCAGTTGCTGCAGTTCCTGGCTTGCCAGGGATCGCTCGGAGTGATTCAACCACTTTGTGGGGGCTCAGAAATACATCTGAGACGAGACATTGCTGAGTATTTTCTCTTTAGTCCCCAGATAAGGATCTGAAGCAGCAACAGCCCTGGAGAGGGCACAGGAGCTGTCCAGAAAAAGCAGGAATAGATCTTTAAGGATATAAAGGATTAGGGAAAAGGGAGAGAAGTGTTATCACTGACTTGCAAAGGCCGTTTCATCTCCGTGACGCCCGGAGAAGGAACACGCTCTGAGCGCAGCCCGGGTGCTCGGACCTGCTTTGCCTCCTAAGACGCTTTTGCTCCCGAGCCAGCGCGAGGGGCTTTCCGTGTCCCCTGCAGCTGGAATGAGCCCGTTTGCGCTCCCTGGGCCAGGGCGCTCCTGGCGCT